CCTAAATGGCAAAATACAGTGTTTATCGTATAGTAACATAGATATCGGGATTATCCCCATATTGGAATTTCCATTTTCCAACAGTTTTCATCCATCGCTATCATGTGAAAAGCGTATACCCAGGATCGAACCCAATATAAAGAAAACCTGTAAGGCCGTTAAAATGAGAAAACGTTCGACAACGAGTGGCGGAAGGGGAACAACATCGAGAGAGCCCCGAGGTTGCTCTTCCGTGCGCGTTATCCGGGCGATGGAGCGACTAATAACGATAACGATGCCAGAAACGATAATCGAGTTAGGGGTTTCCGCGGTTTCCACGGTTCTCCCAGGGCGCTGATTGCTGGAACGGCGGCGGTTTTGGCGTCGGGATGGTCGGTGCGCGCCGACTCCGACGCCGACGCCGACGCCTATGACTGTGACGCGCGGCGTTACAGGCGCTCACGTAGACGCGTACCACGGCTCGGATGAAGGCGTAACGAGTACACAATGCGATGCAAATTGGGCCTCTCTCCCGGCTGTGCGCGGACCAGTCAATCGGCCGGTTGCCTACGCCGGTGCATCGCGATGGTATTACTAACATCGCTATTCTATTATGACATTACGGTTCCCCGAGCAGCAGACTGGGCTATTACCAGCCCGGACTCCCTCCAGGCGTTCGATTCGGGATAACTCTATAGTGGTAACTATACTATAGCCATCGAGACGCCAGAGACAATACCCGATCGGACGCCCGAGGCCAGTCTTTCAATTTATTTTCCACCATCCCCCACCATCGAACCAATGCAGCGAGATTTTATGTAAATCATTATTTAGTCCAGCAAATAATCAGTAATGCAAACGGTACGATATTTTAAACTGATAACCTGAACGAGTATGTACCTTGCATCATAATTGTAAAATGATCGTGAATTGGAGGAAAATGGAAATGGACAGCGATGGATTTTCCATGCAGAAGGCCGTTTCAAGGTCACGTTATCGTGCACTATTAGTATCCCTGCGATACGCACACCATCGTCCACAATCGAACCAATGCTGCGAGATTTTATGTAAATCAGTATTTAGTCCAGCAAATAATCAGTAATGCAAACGGTGCGATATTTTAAACTGATAACCTGCTCGAGTACGTACCTTGCATCGTAATTGTAAAATGATCGGTAATTGGAGGAAAATGTATCGAAATTGTTATCGTACGTTGAGTCATAATTGTAAAATGATCAGTAACGGAAGGAAAATGAAAATGGATGGATTTTCCATACACAAGGTCGTTTGAAGGTCACATTATCGTGCACCACTAGTCTCGAGCCTCACCGTTGCATCGCGGTGATAAAAATATTGATGACCTTGAAATCTCGTATACATATATGACCTTGAGGAAAATGTAAATTACATCTGTTTTGCAAACTATGAATTGCTACGCTCAATTTTTCTTATCCAATCCTTATCGTATTACCATTTTCGTATGGTGCAAATTAATTCCTATGTTTTCAATTCACAAGAAATGGTTCCAAGAAACGGTCTCGATGCGTATTGTCCTTATCAATAAAGTTGATATAGAGAATTATGAAAGTGTTTACAAACAGTTAGCAAGATCATGTACGAGATACGTGTTGGTAGTAAATAACCGACAAAGTGAAATCAATTACGCAACTTCAGTTTCACATGAGTATTATTGAAACGCTAAAAACGTCTTTCTCGGATACAAGGTCAAACGGATTAAACGAACCGATTGAATTATACGAACTTTTTTCGTTATTCTTTCGAGAACTGAAACGTAAACTGCATCGCCGTTCACACGATCAACAATGAATCTCGATTGTCGCAAACGTAAGACGAATTACGGTACAAATTTTTAGATGAAAATAAGTTGAAAATTACTTTAGAAAGTCTTTCATTTGTCGATAAGAAGATAAGTTGAAAATCCATTCAGTGCTACATCTAGTCACAGGCGAACAAGTGATTGATTATATTATTATCAACAACAGAGCGTGTTACGTGTATAACTGGTTTAAACCTTGCAAGTATTATAATCCATTTTATGAACCGGCCGTATCCAATAAAACGTGCTAGGTTCGCTTGATTAGTTGATATACGGAGCAAACATTCCTTACTATTTAAATATTAAATTGATAAAGTATCGCTATCGGATCCTGTGATTTTAATCAGTTCAATCGAAATAACTGCTACATAATATAATGCAATAAGGTCAGCAAACCACGTGGCGTCATCTCTAGAGATCTGACGCACATAAATAGTAGGATAAACTCACGCGTGTTTGTAGAATTAATGCTCATGAAATTCCACTTCAATTGTACCGCGTGTCTTCGCCTATTAAAACTCAATCTTTCTCTATCACTAATCAATATGACTCATATTCCTCACCAAACATTCGTTTAGTCAACCGTAAAAACTGAAGTTGTGATAAACGAATGTTTAATCTAGTAATTTTGTGCACGATCTTGACAAATGTTAATATATTTAGAGTAGTTACTAATACACCTATTTAAAAAAAAAGAAACTTTTATCCAGTCAATTTAAATTAATTTTATCTACTCGATAATCCGTTTTAAAAGTTACGTAATTACGTTTTGCATATAACGAAATTTATTACGATATCGAAACGAAGGTGCTAATGATCTTCATATCCTGTCTAAAGCGCTATTTATACATACTATACTTCGTTATCAGGCTTGGAACGAGCTATCATTGGCGACGGCTGCACTGAATTACCGACATGGATAAAATTACAGTTTATAAAATCTGTTCCACGCAGCCACGGCGTGGCGTGATATGCAAGAAATACGTTGTAAAAATCGCTGCGCCTTTATCCAAAATAAATACAGACGGTAATATTGTAATAATTTATATAGCCAGTCGCCCAAAGTACGATTAAAGCGGTTAAACCCCGAAAGTACGCGAAAATATCCTGTAATAACATCGTGACCAACGACGATATACTAAGCTCAACTTAAAAAAGTTATTTTTTTAGAAAAATGCACGTGTTATTATAAATTCAATGAAAAAATACAATTACGCTTACGTTGGCGTTATTCTTAGCGTCTCCTGTCTTTCGAATCGATAACGTATGAATTAGGTCAACTGTAAAAGAGTTTGCCGTATTTAAAAATATAAGGCGGGAAGAATTTTAACTCATTTTTTGTAGGAATTCCTGCAATGAAAAGAAATCAAGCAGCCGATAAAGAAGTCGGTCGTCCACATCAACCTTTCTAACGGAGTCGAAAAAGGCAGATGGTGCTGGAATCGTGTGGCGCGAACTAAGGACAAATTTGAATTATAATCGCAATTCGCGGCGAAACAAAATTTGGTACTCTTCTTATTATGTTGCTGACTCATTTGGATTTGCAAATTACATTTTCGCGGTATTAGGAGGAGTAAACATTAGGATAAAACGCAGAAATTTCTTGAGGGTAAATTTTATTAATTATTTATGTAATGACCACCAAATCTTACAGCTGAGATTTTTAATTTATGCAAAAGTATTTTATTATTAAATAGAAAATTAAATTGTTCTCTTTTTTTAGTTATATTTGTAAGAAGTAGTAAATACACTGAAATTGATCGATTGTAATTGGTATAGTAACGACAATTTCATAAGAACGTTAAAAAAGCAAATACTAATCACACTATGCACAACACATAATAGCATTCGTCCCATAAAAACTACACTTAAGTACATGCCTTTCATTTCTGTTGTAACAGAAATGTGGAGAATTTAAAAATTCACTGCTACGCGTTTCTAGATATCCGCTTCTAAACCAAGAAATGTCGGAAAGATTTCTCAATCTGAGCAAAGAAGTATGTTTCTTATGGGTTAATGATTGCAATTTAATTATTTCATTACACGAATACAAAGTAATCTCTCTCTTTCTTGAAGACTTACGTAATCCAAACACATTTAAATATGATGTTTGATGCCCATCGAGTATTTTAGAATGATTGAAAATATTATTTCTTTCTTTTGTACAATTGAGTATTTTATATATGATAGTCTTGAAAATCGATTTTGTGACATGTACGTTTAATATATTAAATTACATGTATATTATTTCCAATATATGTATAATGTGAAACACCACAGACACATTTGCATCATGTGTATTGGAAAGTTCGAGAAGGTTATCGGCATCAATATGATTCTGCCATTGAAATTTAAGATAGAACTCTATACAATATTTTATTTATCGTGTAGTTTTGCAAAATAATCTAATAATAAAACGCTTTCACTAATGTGTGTACATACATATATTGTTGCTATTACGATTCGAGTATCAGTTTAACGAGTTTTCACCAATCTCAGTTTATCTGTTTATATTTTTTATTGCGTATCGTAAATTTTATTTTAGTTAATTTCCTGAAAGGGACTTCCACAAATTACGTTACATTCTTAAGGGAAGGGTAAAATGTAATGTAATATTTTCCAAGAAATTTCTTTTTCAATTTCGTACGGCCTGCGAAATTCTTTAGCGCCAACAATAGTGCCGGTGCGAAACCTTGAAAAATTCGAGATGACATAATCTGGTCCCAAATGCGAGAGTCTGGTACGAGCATGCAGTAAAGTATGTTTCGTGTATACATATAAATGATATCTGTGTTATAAAAATCGCACGTTATATGGTAACAAGACTTGCCAAGTAAAAAAGTAAAAAAATTCGAAGACTCTCAGAGTACCGACGGTGGTAAGGAGGAGCGAACGAGAAGGACGGATGCGTCGCAGAACAAAGACGAGAGACAAGAAGGAGAACAAGTTACGCGTACCGTGAGCGGTAGAGAGACAACTACGGTTACATGTAGAGCCAGATAGAGATCGACCATAGGAGCAAGAGAGAGGTAGCCACCGTGCGAGAAGCAGCGTGAAGAGGCACGAGCGCGACGAGGCGCGCTACTCCGACTGCGCAGGAGTGGGGATGCGCGGCGACCAAGAGGGAAAGGCGAATCGCGGCGAGAGTAAGAAAGATGGCCGCAATCGCTGGAGCCGCGTCATGGGAGACGGTGGAGAACGTTGGTCCTCCGGCGTCGAGGAGCGCGGAATCGTGGAGTAGAGCGAGCCGACGTGCATCGTCCGGGTCGCGATTCTCGTCGCGGCTCCTGTTTCTTCTCGCGGCTGTTCGTTACGGGTTGAATGAACGAGGGTACCAAGTGCAAAGTGCCGATCGGCGACGCCTGCGTGTCTATGCGCATGTGCTTCGATTCCCTGTGCTTCTCGTCGACGCAGCAGCGGCTCGCCGACGAGGACGCCTCGCAGCTGCCGACACACGGCGCCGTGGCCGTGGTCGCCGCCGGCCAGAGGGCCATCTCGAACGTCACCGGAGCGACCGCGATCACGACGATGAGCACACTTCGGGAACTGCAGGAGTTGTTGCGCGTCAAAGACGAGAGGATCGCCGAGCTCGAGGCGATCCGTTGTCGTCGCGATGCCGAGATACAAGAGCTACGTAGCCACCTGGACAAGTTTTTGAGCGTGTTGTCGTTCAAGTCACCCCTGACGCCGACGAAACCGAGGCCCAGGAAACAGAGGGCACAGGGGATCTCCGCGGAGCCGCCGCTCCAGGAATTCGCCTCGCTGAAGATCGTCGACAAGAGCGAAAGGTTAGTGCACGCGCGAGCGAACCAGCGAACGGGGGATACTGTTTTCTCGCACGTTACGATTAGACGCTTTTTTCTCAGCACGACAATCAATAATACCGACGAACAGTTGAAAATTTTAGTTAATTTTAGTTTTTCTTTCTTGACAGTTTGTTTGTTTACGATAGTATTTTTTTTTTTATCAGTTTTAATATCAAATGGTCAGCTTGACTCGAGTTGGCACAAAAATGCAACACGTATGTATTCGAGTACACTCGGGTTAGAGCGTTAAGTGGTTAGAAACTGTTAATAAGCAGGGCTGGAATTTCTTGTTGAATTTTTCTTCGTTCGAATACTTCGGTGATTTGAACATTCGGATAATTCGAATACTGTTTGAATGTTTTTCGATATTTAATCATTTGAATACTATTCGTATATGGTTGAAACCTTGAAAAAGTTCGTGCTTAGGTTAGTAGGTTTCAGCTACTATGATCATCATCTATTTACTTAATATTGCAGACACTCTTGGAAAAACAAAAGATCTGTTAATTCAAACTTTAAAAAATTCGATGACAGTGATCATCGTTGAATGTAGATCTAAATCTAAGATTACTTGCAACAATATTTAACATAGTACTATCAAAGGATTCGTCATGGAGTATCGTCGTGTAGTTAAGAATTTTTAGGTTATATCATTAAATCAAATCAACTCCGCTATTAACACATCCACAGCGATAGTACGTGAAAGTAAATAAAACATCTTCTCACAAATCGCTCTTAACAATGAGTAAACAGTTTCGTGCCACGATCAAATATCTGGATATTCACAATATTTGAACAACGTGATGTGTGCTATAATTCAAATTCTTTATAGGTCTCGATAATGTTTGCTCTCGTGACTGTGCAAGTATTTATCTATTTGTTGTTGTTCGTGATTCTAAACAATCGTACCTTTCCACTCAAATTTTTCGGTATCTAAGATATCGATGACTAAGATTTGTCGAAATTTTTTACTTTTTTACCGTGTTAACGACCTCATCAATTTCAACGTCCTTAGAGTATGTTGGAGGGAGAAGGTCACCGAGGGGTCCAAAAAAAAACATAATTGTTACTTGCTTTTAGATTTAAAAGTATAATTAATAGAAACTTGAGTTACGAAACCACACCTTCACATTTCGACTCCCGATTGGTGGAATGGATAGTCACCATGTTGGTTCCACCAATCGTAACCTTGTGTTTTCCGTGGCAAGCATCAATTTACCTAAATCAAACATAGATTCAATCGTTACGTTTCAATTCTATTTATTATTAAATAGACATTTATAAAATAAGGTTAAATATAAAGGAAAATGAAAAATTTTAAATTCCATTATTCTGTCGACTAATCGAATAATCCTAGGTTCGGTTAGCAGATATCTTGATGCAAATTCGAGCAGCAAGTTATGGGTCGTCCCGACGGGAATATCATTCGTTTCGACTATCTTGGAACTGTTAAGTTGCAGGTTAACCACTTGACGCCCGCGCATGCGTGCAAGACTGTACGCGTGTTTACTCGATCGCGCTCGCTTCTTCGCATTCGATTGGTAGTCGTGATTTAACACCGCTCTCCATGTGGAAAGACACAAGCAAAGAAACTCCCCGCTGACGAATTCCAGCATTTAAAGAGTTAACGAGTTTTCACGGAACAGCGAGCTTTTTGCTACGTTCGTCTGCTTGTTTGTTTGCGTTGGGCCGGAGCACGCGACACGCCTTTCCTTTTGACGCAACAGCTTTTCAGAGCTTGGAACTGTAGAAAAATCGATCTTTTGTTGTTGCATTTTTTTTAATTTTTAAGTATAACGAATAGATATATTGAGAAATGAAATGTTAAAAAATTCTTATTCTTTCTTAAACTGAAAAATCTATAGAATGTTTAGGCGTTGTGCACGTCGGTAAGCATTTATTATTTTCACAACAGTAACGAGTAAATGCTGCATATGAAAAACTTTATCCTGTTCAGACGTAGCGATGATTTCAGCGTGCTCTTTGTCCGTTCTTCTTTATTATGCCATTGTTCTGACCGTTTCGATCGTCGCGTAACATAACAATTTTTCGTCACGAGCGACAATTTATTCCGAAAATGAAGTTTGTTTATTCTCCTCTATTAACACATCAGGTATCTTTTTCCTTGTAAAATTTCCACCCTCAGATCTAAATACTCTTGCAACATGCCACTAAACCCTTTCTGTTCAGAAAGGCACTTACCACCAGGAATCTTTTACAGAAATAATAATATAGTCTCACGGATAACTTGGTGTGGAACTGATTTGCCTATCTTCTTCGCTGTACTAACCTTTGCCAAACGGTAAATCATCGTAAAACGTCCAACATAACTTTCTGGAACTGTTTCATGCACGGTTTCACGCGGATTATTTTAAACGATCTGTTACAAAACACCATTCCCTACAATTTCATTCGATCTTCGCCTCGGTTGCATTTCCAACGACGTATCAATTTCGAATTTTACATTAATTTCTCCGAATTGTGCATCGTGTCATCGTGCAATATAAATTTCCAAGTATCGTGCAAACATACCGATCACTCGCGACGAGAAATCAGAAAAGTTCAACACAGCTTTACACAAATTTTTGGCAGCCGTTTGCCATTTTGTCGTGCGTTCGAGACTCGTAAATTGTATAATGTCGCGAATACGTTTTGTCAGCGGAGATATTTGCTCCGCTATATTACGTCAAGAAATCTGAAAATTCTGTGTCAGTTTAAAGTTTTTTCAATTACTAAGCGTGAAATTGTTATTTAAAACTTTTTTCAATGAAAACTATTTACTTGGTTACGAATACGAATCGTGTCCATCTCCGATTGTAGTTGAGCGCGCTAGTGTGCGCATGCGCACATTAGGCACGTCGTTTTGTCATGGAACGTCGATGCGCGCATGCGACGCGCATCCCCACCACTTTTAATCCTTTCGCTGCGGGAGACTCCAATGCAAAACATGCGCTACGCGCAGTGAATTCCTAGCAGCAGTCAACGATGTGTGCGGGAGATCGTTTTGTCCGCTGGGCACGTACGCTCGCTGAACGCCCATGGGCGTTTATCGCACGTGGAACACCGATCGAACACGACTAGTATTTTTCTAGAGCGCCACTAGGCGCCAATAGTAATTTAAAGGTTAGAACCGAATCTTTCGGAATACCATGAGCATTCTATACCGTGAATCGCGAATCGAACATTCGATACGCGTACCAAGTAAGGCTTGATACGTACCTAACGCACGGTGTAAATAAATGACGTGTCAAGTTGGCACGAATCGTTCGAGAAAAGGTTTATTCGGAGATGAGGAAAATTCTTAATTGGACAGAAATTAAAAGTTCATCGTAGAACGAAAACTATTCGTTAAATTTTGTCTATTTCTTGGTTTCTTTTTGCAACAATGTTTTTAGCTTTTTTTTTAGCTTGATCTGCGTGTCTGAATTCGATATATTTGCATAGTAAGACACGCGTCTTTCACTTGCTAACAAGTTGTGAGTTTCCGGAATCGTTGTAGGTTGGTTATATTATGTACATCTGTCAGACGTAATATGACAATCGATATTGTCAAGGAAGAAACGAAAAGTCCCTCGGATTCTAATTAGAATTTGAAATTTTTTTGTCCATAGATTGAATAGCGCCAAGTCAAAGAGATATGGAGATTCTACGAAGCTTTACAATAAAGTTGACAATTTTACGATAACTTCCATAACCCTCGATCACAAGTAAATTATTTCTTTGATTACAACAGCAGCATTAACGTGCCCACTGTCACGTGTACTGATTTCGATCAACGCTACAATGTATTTATACGTCAAACGATTGTTTCCTCGTTAAGAGATAAAAAGATAAAAATTGATATCGTTATTATAGTCTCTATAATGATGTTTCTAACATTTTTTGGCGCGATAGTAATCAGTTATCATATAGTATTTCAAGCGTCGCTTATTGAATCAAACGACAGCATATTATTGTAATTATTCTGATATTTAGAAATATGAAAAAATACATTTTCTCGAGTAGAAATAAATAGATAATCTGTGCAAACAAACTTTATAGCGTGTACCGTTTCCTTAACCTGAAGCGACAAACGATATATTCTTTGGAACAATAAATCGTATGCAAATTTATTCGAATAATAGCGAGCTCAGATTTAGAGAAGTTTCGCGACGAACGCGCTGAAACGGTTGTTTACTCAGATGTTGAATATAGTATTGGAAGAAAACAAGAAACTATGCAAGGAACGAGTAACAGGCGCGGAATTTATTTTAGAACGGAATTGGAAACACCTCTTTCCTCGTCGTTTGATATGCAAATCCGCTGTTTCGTTATTTAATATTCTAAACGCTGTTCTATCTGAATAACAAAGCAAGGTTAATGTATTATGCGTTCAGTCGAGCCTGATCGAAAAATCACAGCTCGCATATATGTATGAATGCAGAGATAAAAAAATAGATATCTCTTGGCGTTGCGCGAATTTTCGAACGTCGCGATATTCAGGAGATATTTCGAGTTTGATTTTATAGCGATTTTACCGCAATGCGTAACAAGATTTCACCATATTTTTAAAAAACGCACTTTCACCGCGCTGAACTTTAATCGATTCCTATAAAACGATGAGATCATCGTGTCACAATTTTCAGTTGCTTTAATAAAACTTGAAATTGTTTACTATTAATTCTCGTCGAGATGAATCGAACTGTATTGAAAGTTTCGAGCTAATTAAATATCTCACTTGTTTTTCATGGTAGGACAAAATATTAGAGAAAAACCATTCATTATTTAGAGGGGGTAAATATTGTGATAAGCAATCATTTTTTTTCAGTGTCGTATTTTACTAGGTTGTATTTTAACCTTCAAACGATTTTGCATAACAAAAATTACGTTTGCACGAAAGATAAGAAACTGTATAATTTACGTGTCTCGGTGCAAATATGTACCCGTTTTATTGCAAAAAGCGTACAAAATGATTACTTAAATATATTCTCGAACACGACGAA